GAACTCCACATCTAATGGAGGAACGAGCCATTCAGACAAGGGTTGATGTCTCCAGAATTATATTTGGAAAATGACCTTAAAACTTGAAATGTTTTCCCTATCAGGACTTCCTGAATGTCCTCTGTTCAGAGAAATAGGTTATGACCTACAGGGAGAGCTAATGGCTAGAGCTGGGCTATGAAACGATAACAAAATATGTTTGTAAATAACTTTTTCTTCACAGCCTGATGAGAATGTGTTGATAGAAATTTACCATCTGCTCCACCCTGCAGCTGTAGATGGATAAAGGTTTCTAAACTATTATTTACATGCGTTGTTTTAAAACAGCAGGAACACACTTGGCTGTGCTCAGCTAGCTCATCAGTCCCGCTAGGCTCTGGAAGCTAGCTACAATAAAAAGCTAAAACAGGTCACCTACCTTTGTCATTAAGCCATATGAAGGGCTAACTAACTTGTCATGCACACAACCGTTGTCTCCATTTAGTCCTGTCTTCTACATTCTCCACCCTCACACCAACTAACTTAAGACCTCTTTCACCACATCCAGAAATCTCCTTGTTGGTCTTCCTCCCAGCATCCTGCCTGCTGGCTCCAACCTCAGCATCCTTCTACTTACACAATCATCTTCACATCTAACATGAGCCGTCCCTCTGGACTCATTCCTGATCCTATCATCCTCGTCCCTCCCAAAAAGAACCTAACCCCCCTGAGCTCTGCTACCTCCAGTTCTGCCTCCTGTCTTTTCCTCGTGGAAACTGCCTCTAAACCAGACGACATGGCTGCTCTCCCAGCACTGAGCCTCCACAGGGGGTGAGGGAGGCAGGTGAGATATGCTGCTTGATGTGCATCTTTCCTGTCATTCTTGCTGAAACTCTTAACACACACCCTCTGACACTATTCTCAGTTCATTCCAACCTGTTGCACATGTTTCCTCTCCTCTACTCAACACTCTCCGTTGGTTTGGACCGTAGACCTTAAGTCCTCCAAGACTTCTTTACTTCTACATCCTGTAACATCACTGTTCCACTTGTGTCCCTCTCATTTACACATATGGATTTTGCCTTTATTCCTCTTTTCCAGTACATATCTCCAACTCTAGCTTCTCTTCTACCTCCACCCTGCTCTCACTGCAGAACACCGTCATCTCCCAACTTCACCCTGAACTCCTGTCACCCCTGCAGCACACCTCACTGCTGTCTCACCCCCCACTGCTGTCTCACACATGTTCTGCACCCCTCTAACATCTCTGCTCCTCCAGACCTCCTCATGCACCACGGCTCCTCTCAGCACTGTCAAACGCTTTTTCCAAATCTATAAAATGCAAATCCTTCTGAACCAGTTTAAATCACAAAAATAGTAGCTTCTGGTGGAGTCAGACCCTCTCCATCTGCTGGTGTTAAATGACATTAAATCAGCCCATATCACTGGAAAATTACTTTGGAAGAGCAGAATGTGAAACCTACAAGCTGCCCTGGTAATATACGACCCACAGTGTGACCACGGAGCGGATTCTTATCAGGAGCTTCATTACAGCTGACTTTATGTGCTGCTGGGCGGCTAGTATCAGCTGTCCTCACCACGAGTCCCTCGAGAACGACTGGAGTGATAACTACAAATAAAGGAAGTGAGGTTGGATTGAAAACAGCAGCTGAGGAAAACCAGAACATACCCTCAGGAAAGAACCAGTCAGCATGCTGGATGATGGGTTCAACAATGGACACCACGTGTACAGAAGTAGCTGCAGCCATCTCAGCCAGACTCCTGGGTGTGCACAGAAAGACAAAATTAGACACTTCTCTACGTAATGAGATGCCAACTGAAATAAATAACAGCCTGTTGAAGGTGGAGGAGCGCGCCGCCACCCAGAATCTCCATCTGCCACCATCTTAAATGAACACAAGAGCTGTAGATACACCTTTATCCTTCAGCGCAATCGCCCCTTAGCAGGGGCGTCTCCAGAAAATTTTGATAAGGGTGGCCAGACGGGGCCAAATCAATTTTTGGGGTGGCACACCAAATTGGTCCTTGTGGTAACTCTGGGAGAGTTTAGCCTGTGGCGATGCACAGCATTGCTGCTTTATTCATTTTTATTCAAAAAAACAAACAAAAAAAAAACAGTATGTATCCAAAACATTTAACTCAAATTTTGCAAACAAAAATATTTCAGAAAAATACATTTCAGCTATTTAAAATGTTATTTTTTTTTTGTAGTTTCATTCACCTGCTGTGCTGTGTTCACAAAAAACTATGGAGATAAAAACTTTTTTATGTTTATGTTTATGTATTTAGCAGACGCTTTTGTCCAAAGCGACTTACAAGTGATAATCGGCATGTTGCCCTTGAGGCTAACAACAACAATAACAACAACAACATTGACATCAGTCATGGAGAGTAGGGAACAAGGAGTGGACCGTAGAGAGGGGGACGGGTGCAGGGAGGGTGCTAGTTAAAGCCGGGCGTACACTGTGCGACTTTTTCACTCGTAGCACTCAGCTTGAGCTCAAACTGTACGACTTCCTCGCAGAGCAGATCTCACGAGTCGTGTGCTCACACTGTACGACCCAATTCTCGCATGCGACCTGACTGCTCACACTGTACGTCTGGTAGCAACACGTCGGCCCTAAAATGTGCTAAAAATAGCAGTTTTTACACAACACGTCAGACTTTTTTGTCTTGCCTGTTGTCCTTCGGGAGTGCTGAAGGAGGACACACAGGGATTTATGGGGGTTGGATGAGGAAAACGAAATAAAGAAAGTGAATCTGTGTTTTGTGATCAGTTTAATTTGACATGAACACGACAAACACGCTTTCTTGACAATCTTTGTGAGTAAAAAAACGTGTAGAAACAAAAACGAACAGCGTGTGTTATTAGGGAAATAGCGAGCGACCGGCCGGCGTTGATGCAGGATTGCGCGCGCATGCGCCGTGAGCGGTTCTGATACTTTTTGGATCGTAGCTGCTCGCAGCTGCTCGTAGCGCCGCTTCAACAGTGCGATACCCTCACGAGGGACGAGCGAAATATTAAACACACCAGAAGTCCCTGCGATCTCACGACTGCTGATCGGCGGCTGGTCACGTGGTGTTAATCGCCTCTCGTAACCCCCTGTACACTACACGACCGCTCGGCGCAAAACTCGCCCCGATGTCGTGGCTTCTCGCACGACTGGAAAATCGGCTCAAAAAAGTGAAAAAGTCGCACAGTGTACGCCCGACTTTAGAAGATGCTCTCTGAAGAGCAGGGTCTTCAGGAGTTTCTTGAAAATTGAAAAGGAAGCCCCTGTTCTGGTAGTGCTTGGAAGGTCATTCCAAATTTGTGGAACGATGCATGAGAAGAGTCTGGATTGTCCTGAGCGTGGTGTAGGCACTGCTAGCCGACGATCCTGTGATGTAAGCCTTTGCAAGAGGATTCAGGTAGATGGGAGCCGTACTATCTCGGACTTTGTATGCTAGTGTTAGCAATTTGAATTTGATGTGTGCTGCTAGCGGTAGCCAGTGGAGCTCAATGAACAGAGGGGTGACGTGTGCTCTTTTTGGCTGATTGAAGACCAGACGCACCGCTGCGTTCTGGACCATTTGAAGAGGTCTCACAGTACATCCTGGAAGACCAGTTAGAAGGTGAGCAGCAAAACATATGTATTTTTTTTTTATTCTGATTATTTCTTTACTCATTAATTGTATTATTTTTATTGTGTTGTACTATTATGTCTTGAATAAATAAGATAAATTTATGGTTTGATTGAACATTAATATGATTTAATAACACTGGCTTTTCCTAAGGGGACCAGCAATTTTCTATGGGTGGCCATGGCCACCCCTTGGGGGCACCATTGCTTCCTACCCCTCAGTCTTAGCCCACAGCAGGTTGGGACCTAGGACGATGGCGATGTTGCTTGGAGTCATTTTGTTCACCTCGCTCTCCAGAGCTAGTTTAGCCAAGAACTTCACCAGATACCTGCATGAAAATGTAAAACGCCAAAGCTCTTGTGATGGAAAACTTAAAAAGATGAAGGACTGTTCTATTGTACGTTTAGACAACAAACCTCAAGTTGTTTTTGTTGCTCTTAGGTAGTTTGTCACACACAAGCCAGAGTGCCTGCAGCCGTTTGTCTGGGTCTGACACACTACAGTTATAGAAAATAAAGGAGAATTAAACCGTAGTAGTTTCATGTCCAACTGTTGAAAGGGATTTTTACCTTTTATCCATTTGTTCCTGACATTTAGAGCGATGTTCTGAGTCCTACCTGGAAGCCTGGATCCATTCGTCATAAAGCTGGTAGGTCATTAGAGGTTCAGGTAGTTCCCTCAGGTAGGATTTAAGTGCTCCTGAAACCACATGTGTGCAGACACTTGAAATGTGACTGTTTGTAGAAGTCATTAATAGTTGTTGCAGACACCTTCATGACCAGCTTCTACAAGGAGAAATATTTCACATTCAAATGGACAAATAAGCTAACGGCTAGTCCAAATGTAACTAAGACCAAAGTATATAGGCGATGGGGGTTCAGGGGTTGGGAGTTCAGCCTGTAACCAGTGGGTTGCTGGTGCGAACCCAGGTTCCATCTGTTTCAGTCACTGAGTGTATACTATAATTCCTGCTCAACTGGATCCCTGGATGCAACAGAACAGCAACCTTTTGTTGTAGCTAATGTTTGCATTTGTAAATATTCATGCACTGCAGAACTGATGGTGGCACATGTATTTGATAAATGATTTTGAATCAACTATGGTGACATCCTGGAGATTACATCTGCTTGGCTTAAACTAGCTGTTAGCTCATCAGTCCTGTGTGATACTAGCTCTATTTCTCATTCAAAAATCTACATACAACATGTATAATATCTAATAATGTGGTTCAAGTTTCACACAGAGGCTTTGGCTTTTGACCTACCAGCAACAGCATGGGGGTCTGAGTAGAACTCCTCCAGCTGTGAGGTGGAGCAGTCCAGAGCTGCCTTCAGCTTCTTTAGCTTGGATGCACCAGCTGCGATTCTGAATAGACCCTAAAACACACATGAATAAAGTCACACTCACATCAGCACTAAGGCTGGGCGATGGGACGAATTAATCGGCCATCGGCGATGGGCTGAGCCGTTACGGTTGTTCTTTACAGGAGGAGATTTGGTTATTTGTTTATTTGTTTGTTGTTGATGAATATTTTACACGTTACGCACAGAGAACATCGCGGAGGTAACAATCAAAAAAAGATCTCCATCAGCACATCTGAGCCTTTTCTCACCTCCTCCACCTCTGGCTGCTGACAGCGCACTCACAAGCGGCGCGCTGAGGAGGGGTTCGGAGAGCGTCTGTGACGCACTCGACATCGTGCACTACAGCGCGGGGTTGAGCGGGAAGTGGAGGTCCTTCTATCTTTCAGAGTCTGGAAGACTTCTGGTTATTTCGTTTGGAGAAACGTTTCCTGATTTAAAACTCTGGCTGAAGTAGCGCTCGCCGTTATTCAGCACCTGCTTCGAGTGTGTCAGCAGAGCACGGATCCATCCAGAACATTATTTAAACAGTCATGAGTCTGTCTGAGGCAAAAGTCTGGAAGCTCATGACCTCCTCAGCAAGCTCCCTAGAGACATCTGATCACACACAAGCTGCAGGTGACCAGGTCGGGTTCACGCGGCGCAGGAGGAATGTGCGTCCGAGCCGCAGCAGGTTACATGTTCCCAATTTAAGTGAAATGGTTTAATTGCATTGTTCGTGTTACTGGGGCATTCTGATCAGCTTGGTTGGACTAAATATTAATTAAAATGAATGGAAATTTAACGAATGATTATTCATCATTTAAAAAATGAAAGTGACGGAATAAATGTGACCTCTGGCAGCGAGCTGCCTCCTCAGAGTGCGTCCAAACGCAGCAGCGATTCCTTCCATCCCCACTTATAAAAGAAACAACCCAGAAGTTTTTGTTCAGAAAGAAACATTTTGCTTAAATAAAAACCACACCAGTGGGCACCACAGGGAAGCAAAGACGAGGCTTCTTTTTAACGTTTTAACCGTGTTTAATACGGCCGTTTATACGTCACTCTACCAAACTACAAATACAAAATTAAACAAAAGAAAAATTTAATTTCTCTTCCAGCAAACATATGTGCTGCGCTTGTTTAAAAAATCTATGTTTTGGGCTTCTTCTGTGTTCGCAAATCAGTCCGTGCGTCATGACGTCACATGCACGAATAAATCGTCCATCGACTTTTTTTGGACTGCCGATTGGCGGTGGGAGAAACGACACTAATCGGCCAACGCTAATCAGCAGATAATAAAAATGCACACAAGCAATGGCTCAGAGTCCTAACGCTGTATGAAACCAGCCAGCTGTGTAAAAAGAAACCTTAAAGCAGCTAAACAAACAACCCCCAGTCACAGCAGGCTGTTCGCTTAGAGATAAACTACGGCTCATTTCACACCATAATAACAGACCCGTCACCCGGCACAGAGAGGAATGGGGAGAACAAATAGTGTGTTTTATAGTTAACACTGCATCTCTTTCTCACCAAACACACACACACACACACACACGAAATTTACAGACAGGAGACAAGTGGCGTCCACTGTATTCTAAATTTGACTCAGGAAGGAGACATCCCAAACATTTCATAAATCCTCCAGCCCCGTTTGTAGACAGCCACCAGCCCACAGCGTGTTTGTCCATCGACCTGACTCAATAAGTTTAAATGAGTTCACAAAAACAATCACAGCTTGGTTTCAATGATCGGTGTTGCTAAGCACTTGGTTCTAATCAGACGTGAGTGCTGCTTCTACACCAGTGGCTTCAGTCAACAAAACAACATCATTAAGCTTCTACGCGTTTATCTGCTGACACAAATCTGAGCTTCTACTCACTCGGTCCTAAAGAGGCTGATGCAGTAAAAAAAAAAAAAAGACGAGGAGAGGAGAGGAGAGGAGATGTCTGTCTGTCTGTCTGTAACTCATCATGCTCAAACCGTTAATAACATCAAACCCCACCCGTCAGGCTCATTTGTTAATTTTGCGTTGGACAGGTGTACCCAATAAAGTGGCCACTGAGTGCAGAAGTGTCATTTAACCATCCTGCTCGTTTTTCTGTACCTCTTCCTTCATGCCCGTCTCCAGAAGCATCATGACGCAGGCCTCCATCGGTAGAGCGATCTCCCGCCCGCTCCTTTTCAGGTGATCGTCCAGAGCCATGCCAAACGCAGGCTTCTCCATCCACGAGTCTACACGCAAGGAAACAAAATGCTTAAAAAAAACTAGATGAAACATACCTGCAGTGTGTCTGTGTTAGTGGAACCTAATAATAAATAAAAACTGCTGATTTCTGGGTCAAAGGAGACTTTTTTTTTTTTCATTTTTAAAGTCCAAACTCTCCTCAAAGAGTGCTTCTAAATAGTAGCCATATGCTAACAGGAAGCAGGACTGACTGGTCCATTTCATCATGTTTGTGACGGTGTGGAAAATCCACATGGGTTTGATGAGAGAAAAAGTGTGTGAGGGGGGAGTGTGTGCGAGTCATCGCCACACGCTGTGAGACCAGGATTGTCTAATTAGGACCACATTCAATTCAATTCAAAAATACTTCATTAATCCCAGGGGGAAAATGATTGCTGTAGTAGCTCAGAATAATAATAATAATCAAGTCATCAAAGAGTTGTCATATATTACAATGGCTGTTGGCAGGAAGGATCTCCAGTAGCGGTCAGTGTTGCAGCCAAACTGAAGAAGCCTCTGACTGAAGACACTCTTCCGTTGTCGGACAGTCTTGTGAAGAGAATGCTCAGGGTTGTCCATCATTTTCTTGATTCTCTGGAGAATCCTTCTTTGCATTATCTCCTCCAGTGGTTCCACAGTCGTCCCCAGAACAGAACCAGCCTTTTTTATTAGGCTGTTGAGCCTTTTCAGGTCCCTGCTTCTGATGCTGCTACCCCAATAGACGATGGCTGAAGAGATTACACTCTCAACAACAGACTTGTAGAAGATGTGCAGCATCTTGCTACAGACATTGAAGGACCTAAGCGTCCTCAAGAAGTGCAGTCTGCTGTGTCCCTTCTTGTAAACGGCTTTGCTGTTCTTTCTCCAGTCCAGTCTGTTGTCCAGGTGAACTCCAAGGTATTTGTATTCCTCAACCACCTCCACTTCTTCTCCCATGACGGAAACAGTGTTTGACTCCACCCTGTTTCTTCTGAAGTCTAAAAGCATCTCCTTTGTTTTGTTCATGCTCAGTGTGTTCAGAGGAGTGAGAGAAAGAAGCAAGATGACCAGAGTGAAATGTTTGTTATGTCTGCAATTAGAAATTGTGTCCTTGGAAAAGAGAAGGTTAAAAACAAGACCCATCTGTGGTCTTAAACAAAACCAGCTTCCTGAATTAACTTTAGCACTTTGTGATACCTATCTGTGAAAAGTGCTGAATAAATAAATAAATGTCTGTCTTCTTCTAGTGTCTAAAAGACAAACGCATTTAAACTTTCAAATAAAAGGGTCTTTTGTACGTCTCTGTAGAGTAAAGCAAAGGCCCCCTGGGGAGGCGAATAACTTCCATGAATATTATTTAAATCTCAGGACTGATGTCATGTTCTCACAGGAAAGATTGAATATTTTCTGAAGTTAAAAAGTGTAAATATGTTAAAAAAATAATAATAATAAAGTGTCAATGTTTCAACATTTAAAGTTGTTCATTCCGATTGCGACTTCATTGGAAAAGGGTAGAATGCCGTCTCCGGATCAGGGGTGAGGTCCTGCCCCAAGTGGAGGAGTTTAAGTATCTCGGGGTCTTGTTCACGTGTGAGGGAAAACTGGAACGTGAGATCTGCTTCATCTGCAGTGATGTGGGCGTTGTACCAGTCTGTCGTGGTGACGAGAGAGCTGAGTCAGAAGGTGAAACTCTCGATTACCGGTCAATCTACGTTCCTACCCTCATCTACGGTCACGAGCTTTGGGTAGTGACCAAAAGAATGAGAGTGTTTGCCTTACATAGGCTCAGCCGTGAAACAGCAGCTACAAACCCCCTACCCCACCACCACGACTGACGCACGGAAGGGCAAAAGATCCAATTTGGATTTTTTTCCAGGACGTAAATAGTAACTTTAGATGAAATAAACTCTGATATTTAAATATTAAAAAATCATAAAGAAAAGGACCCAGAACTACAGATGCCTCAAAGTTTTTTTCGTAACCCATCTGGGTTATTTTAAATTATGAATTTTCGATACTGAGTCTTAATTAAACGCCTGTATCTTTTTTTTACATATTTTCTAGACCTTCAGACTATAGACCCTAATTACATTAAAGCTATGAAAATCAGTGCTGATAAGTTTCTGTCGAGGATCACAGAGTAGGGAGACAGTTAATCTACGCAGATCCGAGGGTTTGTCTCCTTCCTGCAAACAGACCAGTTTGTTTTATAAACTCTTGTTGTCTGTGAGCATTCGTTACTGATCTCTGATCAGTATTTGTTAAACACCACTGTGAATGGGACTTATATACCACCTGGGTCCATAAACACCAGCTGGTGACATTGAAGAGCTGATAGTGTTTACAGTGTGTTTCCAACAGTGTTTATGAATTTAGTCAGTCCAAAAACAGCTCTGTGCTCTGACTCACTTTACCTACGTGCCCGGTGATTCCTTAAATACAAGCTGAAAGATGAAAAACTATCAGCTCGTTATTCCTGCTGAATTTGCCTTTTTATTCGCATTAATGCAAAGAATTGTGTCATATATTAGGCAGATTAAAGGTGAAATGAACGCTGAGGTGTTATGCGATTTTCATTGGTTGTTGGACTTGACATTTTAAAAACGATGGTAGTTGTATTCTAGTAAGTTTAAGCCTTTAATTATGGAAAACTTGGTTGTGTGTGAGACAGTATGTGTGTGTGTGTGTTGAAGGTGCATTTTAGTAAACTATACCTTGCTGAGCTTGGATCGTCGGTAAGACACTCTCCAGAACAGTGAGAGACTTTCTGTGGTAATCAGCCTGAGCGTCTAAGAGCTGCAGAGACACAGTGGCATGAAAAGGCTAAATAAGAACAAGAGCAGCAGTAAAATACAGGATGTCAAAGTAAATAAGCTGCATCTCTGCTCCCTTGTAATTCTGCAGCTGCAAACATTCCCACGTGAACTCGTTTTGGATTTGTTGACACTCACCGTCACAAAGTAGTGGGCATAGTCGCCTTCTTTTGAGAAAAAACTGTACATGTCTGCAGCAAGCTGGTCCTGTTAAACACACAAGAGTCACAAAGAAATAAAAGGAAGAATGAATCTCCTGTAAACTTGCATTGAAGATCATCCTCTGTGACACGCAGCGGACTGGAAATATTTCTGGTTTCATTGTAAGACAGATTTAAGAGAAGTGGTGAGCGGGAAGCCCAAAGGCCTGCACTTCCTGTGCAGAAGCACCACCAAGCACTTACTGCACACACTAAAGCACAGTAACAACCACACAGAGCTGATGCAGCATTTTCAGTCATTCACATGAGTCAGCATCCAGGCTCAGAGGGCCCAAGGGTCCAGCAACATCCACACGTCACTGAGGGGAATTTGCTTCTTCCCAGCTTAATGCTCCGGTTTGTTTAACTCTGACCACAGAAGCCATAAAAGCCGTTAGTGCTTCCAGAACACGGCCTTGTATTTCTATCAGTGTGGGAGACCCTAGATGTCAGCGTTCAGCATGTTAAAAACAGTCCTCACCTGCTGGACGCTCGTGATCTAATGTGATCAGACAGCTTTTATTAGCACTGATGCATCACTTTGCAGATAGTGACAGAATCAAACATAGAACCAATGATTATTCTCAATGTACTTTACAAGTTCTAAAGGAAGTAAAACTATTCTGTAAAAAAAAAACCTGTTTTCCTTTGTTACCTTGCAGAGCTCTACTTTGTTCATAGCCTCGTCCACCTCCTCCTTGAGCAGGTCGGCCTTGGCCGTCAGTGCTTGAGTATTTGTTCCTGAGATTATTGACTTGGTTGCCTGCAACCACCTGAAAACAATAGATGGGAGAACTTTGACAAATCAGAAACCTGTTATGAAACCCTGAATGACACTGAACAATTCCATAAAGTGTTCCGAACCTCGCTCTGGCAGAATCATAGTCCAGCACCAACTTGGCCAGCTGTTTCCTCTGCTTCAGGATGTTGGGAATTTCTACCTGCAATAAGAACAATCAAGATTAGGGGTGTAAGAATCTAACAATAAGATATAATTTCAGGGGAGACTATATGATATATATTACCATACTAAAAGACAGACGATATTTGCAATTTTTAAGACTGAATTTAATTGGAAAACTCAGGCCAGACGCTTCCGAGACACATTATCACGACATCTTAGGGGCTCGACACACGGGAGGCGATCCGCGGCCAGCGGCAAAGCCGTCAATGCGTTCTGTTCCATGGCGAAATCGAAACATCCGTTGTTTTGTTGGCTGTGTCAGGTTGGAGGGAATTAAGGTTATTTAAGTGGTTCAGAGTTTAAAAAGTGGTAGATATGATGTTTCACAAGGTGCTGCTAGAGTTATGTGAAATCTTACTTCTGATTAATATATAAAACATAATAATAATCAACTTCTCCATGTTTGCTCAGAGATGTACGGAGCATCCTGTCCGCTCATTGGTCAGTGAATGAAACCTCCGTTGATTGGTCGTCCGAGCGACAGCGATGAAAAGTTGAAAATATTTCAACATTCTGGGATTGCGTTGCTGTGTTGCCTGTGCACGACACGTGCACGAGCGCAAAATTTCATACGCACGTTTTTCGCGTTTCGCTTTGTAGGAGGGAGACCCACGATTATCGCTTTGTCGCGCATGTCTCATTGAAAATGAATGGAGGAGAGGCGATGTCGCCTCCCGTGTGTCGAGACCATTAATGTTCTGTCAGAATGAAGTCAGTAAAACTGCTGCCACCTAGCAGTCGGAGTTTTAATTACACCACACAAAAGAAATAAAGTAAATGTTTGTATGGAAACTATCAATAACAATATCAAATATCTCAATATTTCAGTGTATCGATATTTTCTTACATCCCTGATCAAGTTTAATGCCCCTGCTGATAAAAGGCCTGGTTCTCCAAATGGTGTGCCACCTTACATGCCAGAGGTTTAAACTCAGATCAACTTACATTGAAAAATGATGGAATTATAATTGTTTCAATATTATAAGATCTACTGAAAAAAATGCTAATGCATCATATTTTACTCCAAAGCTCTTGTGCAAATACATTTTTTTCTTTGATTTAGTCCATCCACCAAATTAAAACATATAGTTGTTGTTTTAAAGTTGCAAAAACAAAAATGTAGCTTCTAATTCTACATCATCCCAATCAGAAGAGTCTGACCTCTGCAAGCTGGCTGAGAGGATCGAGAACATCCTTCTCTATCTGCAGCTCGTGTAGCATCAGTTCTGATGCCAGACGATTCTCTGCCTCGCCGCACACTTCCATCATCTTCCTGTTAACACACAGAGAGAGGGAACATCACCTCAGAACCACGGTCCAATCCTAATTTGTTAGGAAGGAATCAGCTAAATGGGTCATTCTCAGTTCGTCCTCTGAGCTTTTTCAGTATTGAGAGCAAAACTGTGTCAAATTATCATCACTTCTGAAAATATAAGCCACACGCACAATGGATTGATAGGAGTGTGTACGCTAGCAGATGCTTTCACCCAAAGCCACTTTCAGTGAACTTTACATCAGGGGTCGCATTAACCGAATATTTCCCATCTTGACTTTTTATTTATTTTTTATTTAGGTGATGGAAAAATCTGAAGGCCATCTGTAATTTGGACAGATTACAATTCACACCCCTGAACACCTGATGGTGAGCGAGCATATAAGTTAGCTGCCATCACTCTTGATGAATGACCTTGTTGACTTCACCCAGAAAAATGTAACAAGCAGCTGTGCGTCGGATATTTCTACAAAAAGCAGACTTTGGAGCATGTCTTTGACCACCACAGGTCACACGCAGGTGCATTCTGGTGCACCAGGAGCACATGTTGCAGGATATCCTCCCACTGAACAAATGCTTGCGGGATGAGGAAAACCTTTGTTCTGAGAATCTTGCCGACTTCTGATCACCTCACTAGGAGAAATGAGCCCCGATTTCAAAAGTGGGACTTGTAGTTCTAGTCTCCAGTGGGTGGATTCAGCCTCTAGAAAAATGTCAAAACAGCCACGAGAATTCACGAGTCTGCAGAAAAAGTCTAAAACCTTATGACAATTGCAGTCCTATTTGAGACATTTGCACAAGCTGTTGCCAGTTTCAGATGAGCACCAGATGATTCTAGATGACGAGCAAAGACGAGTCATGCCCAGTAAGTTGATAAGTAGATAAATATCTTTCACTGTAATATCGAGTTGTTGGTAATCGAAAAAGTTGCTTGATATTTTTAGAGCTGACCATTTGTTTCGAATTCACCGTTAGCATTGTTAGCTTAACGTTAGCCTCTAGCATTTTTTACCCAATTTTGGAGTAAAACAAAAAGACACCATGGCTTCTTAGAGGTATGAGAAATGACTTCTGGGTTGCTCCTTTTTCTGGTTTAGGATCTATACAAAACACCTCTTTGGCCTTTATGAAGGGAGATAAGAAAATCTGTTTCAATGTAACCTTCATTGCAACATGATTAAGACATAAGACTATTTTGTGTGCTTTTTTAATGTAGAAATCTTACTTATAGTACCTTTAACTGTCTACATATAACTTTTAAGTAAAGTGACTGGTAAAAATAGATTATGGCAGGATCTTTTTGACCCCATCAGTCAAAATGACCATCATGCACCAGACGCATCAAAAGTCTTCGTTATAAGCAGTCAGTTCCACTTTAAATTTCATTCCAGCAATTCTATTTAGCAGCGCCAAGAACCAGCATGCAAAGCCCACGTGATCAGAAGTGCGTGCTAGCAAAGTAGCAAGAGCGATGTCGGCTACGTGGCAGTATCTTTTGTTAAAGTCCATAAAAAAAGTACGGCTCGGTGCAACATTTGCCATGCACACCTTTCGTGTGCTTGACCAGAATTAAAGAAGTTTAACAGCTCCAACCTCATCGTGCGTTTGAAGCAGCTTCACAAAAAACTGCATGAGGATTTTCTGTGTGTGAAATTGTGTGTGAAATTGAAGCTTAGGACACGCAACTTGTAGCAGTTGGTAAATGGACAAAATTGTGAGTTTATTCTTACGTCCCTGCCCTCATCAGTTCCTACAATTTGCTGACAGTAAAAAATAACTAAAGTGACCTCAAAGATCAAATAGTTAATAAAAATATATATATATATATATTTTTCATACTTGCTGTGGCTGGCTCTTGTTCTCCGATTGAGTGATATCACTTGATCAAGCCTTTAATACAATCCACACTACGAAACAGGTATAAGTATGTATGATTTGTGCTGATATTGAATCGTTTTGGTATCGGTATCGGTCAATACTGAAGGCTGTAATATCGGTATCGTATCGAGACATCCCTAGACGTAACAAAATCCACAACATGAATCTTTGACATGAACAAGCAGCACTTGTACTTTCTCTTCCTTATTATTTCCTGGCAGGACCATGGTCACACTTTCTGTCTCCTCAATATAAGTCACTCACCCTAATTATTAGAACTGCTGAAAATTCCTCATCAAAAACAAAACTGGGCCCTGAAAGCCTAAAATTTCAAACTCCATGTACCTCCTCCACTAGAGTACCTCTGCTCTAATATGGCAACAGTTGCCAAGAGTGTGCAATTGGATGTCTGGTGTGTGCATCAATCCCAAACTCACCCTATCAAAGAGTCCTCCCCCAGCTGGTTTCCTCCTTCCACCATGGCCTGTGACAGTGAGGTGAGAGGAAGCTTTTTCTGTAGTCAGTGAAAGAACGGACGCAAACAATGATTAGAATGATGTCAAACTGCATAGAGGTTGTAGAATTTCACATCGATGCCAATGGAAAACTCATCAAGGAGTTTCCATTGAACAGGTAAATAATAGATGTAGTCAGAAAGAGTGTGTCTGGAGCAAAGGAGGAAAACACAGATGGTATATGAGATTTAAGATCTGAACTAAGGAAGTGAGACATCTATCAAACTCCAAGGCTGGGGATCGTTTTGAGGGGTTTACATTTATACAAAAACACTGCTGTGTGCTGGACATCCTGTTTTGATCCAGAAAATCCGACAAGGCAAAAGGGTCATGCAGAGCAATTAGATGCTGAGATGGAAAATGGAGCAAGTTGTTCTGAGAACCGATAGAGGTCGAGGAAGTGTTTTTACCTGACCGTTTCCTGTATACAGGCGTGGTACGGACTGTGGTGCATTTTTGGTTGGTGTAGGGTAGAAAAAATATTTAAAAAAAGAAAAACAAAGAGAAATCATGGAGCATTCTGACTTATTTAAAAAACTTAAGTTATTGGTACTAAAAACGAGAGTACAACTTTGAGACATGGCATCAACAAACAAACTCATTACACATCCTGGAAGATTAATAAATTCACTCAATTACCTTTAAAAACAATTGGGCATCGTAATAAACTCACATGTCTCTTCTCTGCATCTGCTCCAATGTGTCCCTGCAGACATGACACCATCTTTTTGTGTGTATTGTGAGACACCACACGCACCAGCTCCATTCGCCGTTCAATCTGTGAACAGTACATGCAAGAAGAGACCAAATATCAACTAGAATAATTGTATCCCATTCATTCATTCGTTCGTTCGTTTATTTATAAAGCACCTTCTATGAACTTATCAGCAGACCAAGGTGCTGAACACAACCATAAAACTCACAATAACAACAAATATAATGCTGTGTATCATTAAAAGAAATATTAAAAACTAAGAACAATCATAATAAAAACAGGAAATTAACAAAACCAGCTAAAAAAAACAATGAAAACAATTAAAGATCAAGGCAATGTTGCGATCCCTAATGCTGAAATGCCATCACATAAAAATGAGTCATAAAAGACATAAAAACCAGAAGCGATGGGACTTGCTTAACACTCAATGGTAACTCGTTCCAGAGAGTTAGAGCCAGAACCGAGAGCGCACGATACCCCCTCAATCTGTATTTGGAGCGGGGGACCACCAACAGCTCTTGCTTAGCCGAACAAAAAGAACGAGATGGGATTTCTTTGTGCAGTTGTGCTGACAGATAGGAGGGTGCAGAGGCTTGAACAGCCCTGTACACAAGTAGGACGATCTTAAATTTGGCTCTGTACTCCACCGGCAGCCGGTGTAAGGTCACCAGCACCGGAGTGATGTGTTCCCGGCATCTAGTGCCTGTTAGAAATCTCACAGCTGAGTTCTGGATGAGCTACAGCCTTGCAACCGCATCCTGACTTAAGACTGGCATACAAGGAATTGTAGTAGTTGAGCCAGGACAGGACAAATGCATGGATACAGACTCCAGGTCTGCCCATGACAAAAGGGGCTTGAGCCTAAACAAGTGCACAACTGTATTACTTTGTGCTTCGAACTTAAAACCTGAGTCAAGTTTTATACCAAGATTGCTGACAACTTTCTTTTCAAATGGCGCTAATGGGCCAAGGTCTATGTCAGAGCCACTTAATCTACCAAGACAGAGAATTATGACTTCAGTTTTAGTGTCATTCAAGAGTAAAAAGTTAGAAGCCACCCTGGATCTAACATCCCTTAAAAAGTCCAACAGTGGAGAGACTGATCCACCAGCCCCCCCGCCAGAGTGGAAGATAGATCTGGCAATCATCGGCGTAAAGATGGAATTTGACTCCATGCTGACGAAGGAGATGCCCTAGGAGTCAGAGATATACTGCAAACAGAAGGGGACCAAGAACAGAGCCCTGGGACACACCCCAGCAGAGTCTCACCCAAGGAGATAAGGCTTCACCCATCCTAATACAGAAGCTCCTGTATTATGATGGGCCATTGGAGGGCCAGCCCAGTGACCCCCACCCAGTGCTGCAGTCGGTCCAGAAGGATGTCATGATCGACCGTGTCAAAAGCTGCCGATCCAAAAACAGCGAGTCGACAGGATCACCCATTTCACTAGCTAAAAAAGTATCACTGAGGACCAATAAAAGGCCAGTCTCAGCGCTGTGATCAGCCCTGAACCCTGACTGAAACATCTCCCATAACTCGTGTGTGTTCATAAAAGCAACTAACTGTGAATACACAACCTTCTCTAACTGTTTTAATCTCAGAGCCAGAAAAGCACAGCAATTGGAACTAGTAGTCATAAACAAGAACATTTGTAGGCAGGACACAAAGAAATATTTAAATAAATAAGACACTTAAAAATAAAATAAAGACCAAATCTTGAAAATAACTTCATTCTCACGTTATGTTCCAAGATCTTTCACAATTCATCAGCACTCAATGTGTAGTAAACAACTCTTAGTGACTGTAACTTAAACTTTTAGCGCATTATCTGTAAAACCGACTTAGTAATTTAACAGTTTTGGCAGACAAAAATTTGCATTTTTCACTCAAACATCAATCAGTTGTTGGTGTACAGCCAATGATTTGGTTGAGAGTTTTATTGGAATACATCCAGTGGTACATCTGCTGAGCTGTGGTGCCCTCATGGAGGAGGCCATTGGCTTCAACACTGTTGCTAACCATTTAAACATTCTCCCTCTCCTGAAAATAACATTTTACTTTCTTTGACAATGAATGTGCTACTACTAGTTTACCTGTTTAATTATAGATTCACTAGGATAAATACAATAAAGTTTATCTCTCACCAAATAGAATAATTACAAAGAAATCACAATGTAACCATAGAAACACAACTTGGTATATATGTTGTGTGTGTGGATGTGTTTGTGTGTAGGTGGGCTGGTGTTGGTGAATGCGTGTGTCTGCTCTGTCTTCTCAATCCCCAGTGAGTCGTGGTGGATGGCTGCTTATACTGAGCCAGGATTCTCTAGAGCAGGGGTGTCAAACTCATTTTAGCTCAGGAGCCACATTGAGGGAAATCTAGTCCCAAGTGGGCCGGACTGGTAAATAAAAAAAAAACTTCAGATTGTTTTCTTTGTTTTAATACAATCAATATAAAACAAGACTGGAGCCTGAGGACAGTGTAGTACAACACCTGAAGTGTACTTGAAATTTTGAAAAAAAAAAAATCAATTCATAAGAAAAAATTCCTTAGTGATTCAAAGAGCTTACAGATCACATGGCTAGATCAGTTTCATGCAGCACTTAAAGTATATTTGACTCATTTTACTTTACATCTTTTAGCTTTCACCAGCACATCAATATCAGAAGTCACATCCTGAGTGGCGGCCAACTTCAGGATGTGATTCAAGTTCTTGTGTGAGCCTTGAGCGCAGCTTTGTTTTATTTATACTCATTACAGAGGAAACTTGCTCACAATGATAAGTTTATTTTCACTCTACATTGTAAAGTATGAAAATAAAGTTTACACAACCATCCCGCGGGCCGGATTTAACCCGCTTGCGGGCCGGATCCGGCCCGCGGGCCGCATTTTTGACACCCCTGCTCTAGAGGCTTCTTCCTGTTAAAAGGGAGTTTTCCTCTCCACCGTCACTAAATGCTTGCTTAGTATGACCCAGCAAATTGCATCGAGTCACTGACTGGCTTAATGAACTGACCTGTATCGGAATGTTTACTATGTGAAGTGCCTTGAGATGATTCTTGTCGTGACTTGGCGCTATATAAATAAACTTGAATTGAATTTAATTGAATTGGTAGAGAAGACATTTTGCTAAGAGGCAGGCATGGTTCTTTTCATTAATTACTGACAAAGTTTTAAATAAATATCTCATATGATCCGTTGCCACTCCTGGCATTTGTAGTGAATGGCTTTCAGCTACTAAAACATCTAAATTTGTAAAAAGTGACCATTTCTAAGGTTGATCAGTTGTGGTGTGATTACTTCCTTATTAAGTTGCATTAAAATACATCTGGTGGTTTGTGAAATATATTGCAAAAAATTCCAAAACTGGTAAAACATATTGCAAAATGATAAATACTGGGTTTTTATTTCAAAAGTCTAAAATATATTGCAGTGTCTGGTCCAGTACAAGAGAAAAGAAAATTACTTGACTCTAATCCCACTAATTTGTCCCATTGACCATCACTATTCATCTTCATTCATTTTAGCTGATATGTGGCACACTTGCAGAGGGCAGCGGTCAAAGTTGAAGCTTAATTGATAATGTATGTCACTGCAGAGAAACACTGGAATGTTATCTGTGAAACACATGAGTCATCGGAAATGTCTATACAGCTACAGCCACTGAGCCGTGACCAACAGCAAAGGGTTCTTTGGCCTGAAAAAGGTCCCTTTGATTGCACAGACCGTTTGCTGTCTACTGGCCCAACTACACAGGTCCAGTCTGTGCTTTTAGGGTGACAACATATAATACTGTCATTGACAGAAGTCTCAGCCATTCAGCCTGAGAGACAGAGGCCACTGTAGCCCTGCAGAATGAAGATGCAAAGTCTTTCTTATGCCAGGTGTATTACTGGAATGGTCAAAGTATCAAAACATGTAGACCTATAAGTTTAGTCAACAAAACTGACTAAATACATTGAGAAACACTGTATGCACATATTTCATCCTTGTGTAGCGTCCATTTCTGACCTAAAAGGCCCTGTTCTGTTTTGCTCTGCTCAAAGCAAAACCAGAAGTCTCTGACACAGAACTCAACTGCATGAGATACTGCCTCAAGGTCATGCATTTGCTTCTAAAACTGTTTCCTTTCCAGCTCAAGAGAAGAATGAAGACAAAGGACTCTTTCTTTTAATAAATCAGAAGAACAATTTTTAATAAAGCTAACCTAAGTGTTAGTCCAATAATAAAATGTGAACCAATCCGTGAAATGACAATGTTATGATTAGTAAGTTATAATAAGTAATATAACTTTAAATGTTTCCACTAGAGACTGATCACATGTAATGTTAAGTCACATGACACATTTCCTCTTCTGATCCAATTAATCTTCCAGATCTGACGGAGGCGTGGTTTTGTTGGTGCTTGGTAAATCTGTCCCTTTTTGATTCGCCCGTAAATCAAAACATCCAAGTTATAAAACTTTGCCCACGTCACCTTAAAGTTCAGTTCAAAGCTTTCTAGAGAAGTTGTCGGAGTGGCCAATCCGTAACTTTCCTCTTCAGCCGAAAGAACCTAACGACAAGCTGGATAAATCTGTTGCTTTTCCACCTGCTGCAACGGTTCCTTTCAGAATAAAAGCTGAACCATCGACCCCTTTTTGGGTCTCGCTAGATGCCAATAAAACTGTCGTGACCCGGAAGTATCTCAAGACTGGTCTGGTCGGCAACTGCTGCTTTTCCTACCGGCTTCGGTTCCAGGGAAGGTCAAGCTGGACCTTGGCATTCCTGATCTGAAGGGGACTTCCGCAAAGGGTACGTAGGCTGGCGTCTCAACGTGTGTTATAAATCTCCAAACCAAAAGCTTAGCGCGAAACATCATCTTCACTCCCATCAAAACTAATCATTTCTCCAGACCTGCTGGTTCTGAACATTTCACACATACACCATTCTCAGTCTTACCTCACCTTAGTTACACCATACACCTAGTGTTAAAGTTAGTCTAGTTTTAATTTGTTTAGTAAGAAATCTTTAAACTTTTAAAACTTGACTCTTTCTTTTATCTCTGAGTTAATATGAAGTGGTTACATAATCCCTGCAATAAAAAGTTCCAATCTTCTGGTTTAACTTATCCAAAGATCCATAAGATTGATTCCATATTTCCTATGGAATCTCACATCTTATGGTTCATTAAATAATATGTAAACTTAATCGTTACACTTGTATACATATAAAACAAGTGTTTCAAAGTGATAAACATCTACTGGGGATTGAAACAGATGAAGACAATAAGAGGGAGGATCAACTGAATACCAAACAATGGTGTTCCAAAAACAGAAAAGAGTCGCAACTCAGGAATTTCACAGCAAGATATCCGTCTTGATAGACTGCAAACACTGCTAAAACATGCTAGCTAGGACTTGATCCAATGAGTGCCTGGTTCAGTACCCTTCAGGTAACCCATTCTATTTGTTCTGACAGATCCGGTGTGGATATAAGGAACATTTCTAAACAACGTGGCATTACTCTTCTTCCTTTCATTGTGCCAATAAGAGGCTCAGACCTGATCTTATACACTCAATAAAAAGCATTTGTCTGGAAGTGTGAAAAAAAGCCAGGCTAAAAACAGCAGGTGGTGTTTTCCCTCCTGCTATGTGATGAGGTTAACTCTCGGCCACAGTATGTCATTGGAAAGGGAATCCCAGTGAGTTGGACAGAGAAGAAAAAAACGGGATGATTGAGTTTGTTTATTGGTTGCTAAGTGAAACATGTCTGGACAATTCCTTAAATAACAAATAAAACACATATTTAGTTCTGGCCTCTGAAAACACAAAAAAATATGATTTGAGGGATATTCACATAAGGGGTGTGTCAAAGAACCAGTTGTTATTTAATAAAGTGTTCTTTTTTGGTTCATTAGACAACTGCTGAGCATCCAAGTCATTTCTGAAAAACTTCTGGAGATGTTGCTACTGTATGTAGAAGAGCAATTACAGTTGTTCTCTCATGTTTCCCTCAGGTTCTGACTCTACTGAAACTGCATTGAGAAGGGATTGAGGAGGGTTCCAGATGTCCATGAAAAACAACTAAACAAAAATTTGGTACACAAGCTTTTTAGAACATGTCTGAATTTCAAGCAAAAAAAAGGTTGTGAATTACAAAAGAAACCCACAGAAACATTTCCAGATAGTTTGGAAACACACTCTTGTAGCCCAGTGAGACACTGGTTTAGGATTTTTGTGTCTTTGAAATCAGTTCTTCAGAACATGCCCATTATGAAACGATGAGAAAAAACATGAACGGTGGCTTTTAGGGATGTGGTGAAATTCTGGCGATACGATATGTATCACGAAATAGAAGGGACGATACATCACGATAAATTGTGACACATTCAGTCAGATGATATTAGCAATTTTTTAGACTGAATTTATTATGGGAAAAGTAATAACTCAGTGATCTTGGCCTTTGAGCAAACGAGTTGCCCTCTAAAAACAAAATAAGCCATCTAGGACTGAGTGGTCAAATGATTTTAGAGACAAACAGAAGAGTGTGACAAGTTCCCCAAAAAGTTTGCGACCAACTAGTTCCAGATCCAAGAATTTTAGCTGTCTGCAAAAACTTTTTGTCCATTTCATTTGTATTAGGGCTGCACGATATTAGGAAAACCTGTGATATGCAATAACGGTGATTAATATTGCGATATCATTGCAATAAATAAATACTTAACTCAGGAACAAAAATAATCTAAAACAAAGAAATTAAAAAAAGACTTAAAAAATCATAAAAATGAGAAAAGCAAAAGATGTGAGAAAAGGGAAAAAGAAAATGAACAAGAGGCAATCAGTGGATCCCGGGAAAAGCAGAATCAGCAGAAAGAGCAGAGCAACGCTAACTCAGGTGTTTGCTAACCATCAAAATTAAGTGCCGCCCGCCTCAGGGGCGGGCATCTAACCTATGAGAACCCACCCAATTGGCCAAATGGGTGAACAGCTCATTTGATTTGTTAAAAACAAACAATACTTCCGTTTGATTGACAGAATGCATTATGTGCAGCAAACATTTGAGCTGACCATTCATTGCAATATTCATCTGTTCTTTGCGATATGCACACTGCGCGTGCTGATATCGTGATATCGATATATTTGCAATATATACATTGCAGCCCTAATTTGTATGCTCTTCACCTAAATATGGATCAAACCTTCTTTAGACCCATTTGTTTGAGTAGCATTAACAATAGGGGGTGGGAACACATAGAAAAGAATTGTGTGTGTTAGTAACTGTGTCTGTTCTCAGGGAATAACAGAAAAGCAGCTGAGCTTGTTTAAACATTTATGATGCCTCCAGTTCTCACACAAAGACATCTTCATCACTGGAATGTCTTTGCTGAGCAGCCAAGATTTTGTCCTGACACCACCTGCTGTGTGCCTCAGATGGCCTAAGGGGAATTTTCACCCCAGAAACTCCACCAGCAGCGGTTTTTAAATATGCGTAGATACACAGATAAACAGTTCGGTCTTCCCATATTAGCTAGGATGTTGCTTGAGGTTAAGTTTTCAATATCAAAATAAATATACTAATTATTTACCAATATAGGACCTAACTAACCAAATGATTAGTCTAAATTGTTCCCAGAAGGAAATGTTGACATATCAGAGTCTATCATAGGCAACATTCAACCAATCAGGGCAGTAAGAGGCTACCCAAAAAGCCAGTTGGTACACACAGTCAAGAAAAACAACTAATTTGTCTTCAAGATTCTTTGTTCTTAGTTCTTTTGGAGAGATAAAAGCAGAGAAGCTTCTGAAACAAGCAAAACAATACAAAGCTCTAATGGGATCCCAGTGTGACAGGAAGTGTTGACAGCTAATTCTAATGAATTATCGCTGAAGCTTCTCCAGGGCCTCTTAACAGATGAGATGTTATCCATCTGTTTTCTGTTCTGTTCTGGTTCATTACGCCCATTTCTCTCACCCTGTTCTCTCTAATAAGGAGTAACCAGGGCAACTGTTGGAGGAAAAAAAGCTCAATTCATCTTTTACCTCTGATGAGTTTTGACATTTGTCGTTATAATGCAAATACCCTATTTAAAACTATGTTTATGTGGAAATGTTTGTTTCTTAAAGTGGGACTTCAGTTTCCACTTTCAAACAGGTTTATCCAAAGTTGAGGATCTAATTTTAAGATGATTGTGTCCAACAACTTCTGAAAATGTCAAAAACAACTAATCAAATAAAACTTACATTTTGTTTTTTCATAATTTTCCAAAGTCTACCAAAAGTATGTGTTACTTTTTCAGAATTAAATTGTGTTTTTGTTTATTGAATAACAAAGCAAGGCAGCTACATTTAAATCCCACATTTCATACATAGAAGCATTTCAATGCGGCCACCTACATAAAAATATAAACAGAGTTCTTTCAAAAGGGGAAAAACTAAGCACTGTATCGTATTTGTTTGGACTGCCTGACAGATGTACAAAGCTGTTCTACAGATTAATGATTTACCTGTAGGAGGTCATCGCTGAGGACTTCTGTTTTCTCTGCTCTGTTGGTGAGAAAAGACAAGAGCAGAAATTAGCACAACTGTAAACAAAACTTCCACTGAAATGGCCATTCTCCTCAAGGACTGGTTTCCACAGTTTAAAAACTAAAACCAACTCTATGCTTGCTGTTTGATTTAAATTATGGGTTATTTTTCTAAATAAACTCATGTACAGCTTCTCAATTATTGGGTAAAAATGACACAAATCATGATTGTTTAGCGCTATGATCCCCAAACTGACAAGCTCCATGCTAGATTCTTGTGCTAGATTCAATGATTTTCATAAAATGGCCAAATATTAGACTTATTTGGGATAAGTCATATACTGAGTAGGGATGCAACGATACCGCTTTTTTCCAAACCGATGCGATACCGATACTTGGCTCTGGGTACTCACCGATACCGATTACCGATACTTCTACCACACAAAAAAAATGCTATGATTTGGAATACAGATTTGATTTTCTTCTCTGCTTTCAACAGGAAAAGACTGTGAGGTAGATAAAAAGTAAAATATATGAATGGAAATCATCACAAAACTAAAATATTAGGTAAACAGAAATGACGAGTTACAGTGAAGCCATTTTTAAGCAACTGCATTGGTATCGGTTCCTGGTATCGGTTAACTTTTACAGATACCGATACTGGTATTGGCATCTGTATCAGTGCCGATACCGATACCAGTATCGTATCAGTGCACCCCTAATACTGAGTAGTGATGTCCCTCTCTGATATTGATATTGGATGTCAGCCCAAAAACACTGTATCGGATTATATCAAACTGCATCAAAAATGTCCGGTATTAGCAGTACGTTCCACTTTTAATTCCATTCCAGCTATTCTATCCTGCAGCGCCCAGATCCAGTATGCAAAGTCCACATGATCAGAACAGTGTGTGCTAGCAAAGTAGCAAGGAACAATGTTGGTCATGTGGCTGTATTTTTCATTAAAGTTCGAAAAAGACAGTTAGGCTCGGTGCAACACTTGCCATGCACAAATTTCGTGTGGTGGAACACAGCCGGGGAAGATTAATACGTCCACCCTCCTCGTGCATTTGAAGCAGGATCACAAAACATTGTGCGAGGATTTTCGCAGTGTGTGAAATTGAAACTTTAGACACTCAACTTGTAGCAGTTGGTCAGTGAACAATATTGTGTTTTTTCCTAATGTATCATGGGCAGGTGGTGCTGCTATAAAAGCAGAGAAGAGTAGCTATGGAAGCCCAGATGGACAACAGGGGAGTAAGAAAGTGCTTTTTGTTTGAGGAATGAACCATTTGAGAATAATTATGCAAGATGCATCTCCACAAAGTTTGTGATGGTGCCAACATGTTTTGGTCTCAATCCGACCTTAAAATACCGTCGTCACCACGAGACACATGTCAGTTTAACCTTGGGAAGGGGAGGAAGTGCAAATCTTTCCATAAACAAATCATTGTAAGAGTTCTAAAGCTTACATTTTATTTAATAACTTTCATAAACCATGAACAGTAAATTGTTTGATAATGTAGAATTACTAAGAGTTCCGATAAGCTAATCAAAGGCAGAAAAAAATAAAAAACCAGATTACGTTGAGCAGCAGCTAGTTGGAGTTCTGGTGTCATGAACATGTTGGCCAAACAGCCCTGTGATGCCTGAGTCTATTATTAGTAAACTAATAGTTCAACCTAAAGAGGTCAGACAGATTAGATTCACTCAAAAGGAGCAGGCTGGGAAACACACACTCAGCTCAGAATGCTTATCAACACGTGGACTGAGAGCTTCTGTGTTTACATTGCAGAATTCTAGAAGAACACTAGAATAGAACATAATAGAACAGAATAGAATAGAACAGAATAGAATAGAATATTGATGTTATTGTGTACCAGGATAACCCCAGTACAGCTTCATCTGAAGAGTTATACTGCTCTATACCGCTTTCTAATCATTCTATGAGCTAATACCAGAAAACTACATTGACGTTTATATATGTGTAATCGGTATATATGTTAACTGGATGTGTACTCATCCAGTCTACACAACTGAAATCAAGCTCATTGAGGTAACAACACAATGACTTGTTTCTAACTGTTTATCTAAAGTGCTGTAAAGTTGGGCAAATAGTGTGTCATTGTTAGCCTCTGTGCCAAGGACTTATCGGGTATGGTCATTCACTAATGTGCAAACATTTCTAAGCAGAAGCTGAAAATCCATAAAAACAGTTACTTGCTTTTTCACTTTGGGAAGTGGAGGACTAAACAAAACCTGGGACTTCTGCCAAAAACTGTTCTCTATGAACTTTAGTAACCTCCAAACAGCTGCTTTCAATTACAATGCAGAGGCATGGGGAAGGGAGAAAAGGAGACGGACTAGAGAAGCCTCCATAATTCAAGAGTCAGAGGAAAAGACATCCAAGTAGTGTGACTTTGGGGAGGTTGGAGGTTTAAGACTCCAAAATGTTCCAAAGCGGAATAAACTAGCTTGTGATGAATGGAAAGAGTTGGCTATAGCTACCTTCACAAGTCTGCATCTGCTAACACACAAACCTACAGAAATGACTTCCAGAATGCGGTGGAGCCACACACGTCACAAAGAGTGATTACAAAGCCACAACATGGAACCCATGTCCGGGTATAAACTACATGCTGATGAGCGCTTGGTGTGGTCCTATTCACAAAAACCAGAGCATTCATCAAAAAGGCTCTCTTTATGCATACTCTTTTTCTGATCTGTCATGCAATTAAGTAGAGCAGATTTCGTCAACAGTCAGCGAGAAAACAAGATTAACAGGGTTTTTCCTGCATTCAAATTTGCGTGGCGTTCGCCTCCAGCTAATTTTGTGCCGCCCCAGCCTGATTTCCCTTTGCCCCAACTAAATGGATTTTATTTTAACTGCAGTTGCTGTGTTGCACCACTATAGGGGCGCTGTTTCAGCAGCGGTGCACCAAAAGCGCTAAAACCGCTGCAGAAAAAGAAGATCAAAAATTGCTTTTCTCGCTAGTTGGTACATATTCGTGGTTGGTGCTATTGTAGGGTGACCATACGTCCTCTTACCCCCGGACATGTCCACTTTTCACTCTCTGTCCGGGGCGTCCGGGGGGGTTCCTACATTGATCAAAATGTCCGGTTTTTCATCCAGGAGCAGGGATCGAGTTATGGGGGCTAGATATCATTCAGGGAAAGATCCAGTCTCTACCTATATTACAATATTTACGAACTCTCAGCGCAGCGGGATTCTACTGAGCGGAGAGGACACAGAGCGCTGATCGTTGGTGCGCCCGCTGCGTCCGGCGCACGATACATTTTCAAGGTGGCGCAACAAAACCTTATTATTAACACATGGTAGTTCATATCTGTCTGGTACTCTGTCTTTTAACCGTTCCTGACGGCTCCGCTCATCGTGTGCTGCGGTGATTTCACCTAAATGACGCAGCATCGAAACGCGCACTCCGCTTTGCGGTCAGGAGATCCCTTTGATCTGCTCAAAAGTAACTGATGAGGTGAAAAAGTAAAAATCCAGGCAGCAGATTTTCTGGAGAGTTTAGAGGAGACGCAGGAAGATGAGAGACAGACAGGACAGGAAATAGTTAAATAAAAACAAGAAACCAAAGCTTGAAAGTAAAATGTAGGTAGATTTATCTCCACTACACGTTTTTACATGTATAAAACACTAAGTTATACACATGTAATATTTATACATCTGATACAATTCAGATCACCTTCAAAACTTAGTCACACACCCAGGGTCATTTCAAGGCATTTTGGGGGCCAAGGCAAACCGAACACCCCCCTATCCCTAACCCGTACATAATAGACATGCCACCATTACATTGTTAGCAGCAGAAATAAACTGTTATTACCATTTCCAACACAAATGCAAGTTAATGAAATGCATTATATTTTACTTGATATATTTATGTGTTACTTTGACTAAGATGAGTGTTATTAATACAAACCTAAAATGTTACTGAAATGTTGGTTAAATATTAAATAATATTTTAACTATAAATATCAGACGGGAAAAAGGGAACTTAACACCAATCTAATGCATATTATTGAGCCTTTTAGAATATTTTGCCTTTAAAAAAAGTGAGGCAGTTGAATGCACAGAGTATGCATGTGCTGGTGCATGGTCAAGATGGTACCACCTCTGCCTGAATTTGAGCCAGGAAAACCCCTGATTAAGGAGATGTTTGATTTAATAGTGTCCACTTATCAAATAACATGACAGCTACGAGATGCATTTAGGCACCCAGGGGTGGTGAAAATGACCCGTTGACATTCAAACAGAAAATCAGGATGAAGGGGGAAAAGGCTTGAGGTGTCTTGATAGATAGGTTGGTCAAAGTAGTTCAGAAACTGCTTATTTTTTGTGATTTTCACCCCCAACCATATCTAGGGTTTACAGAGAATGCTCTGAAAAGTCTTGTGAGCTGCAGTTGTATGGATGAAAATGTCTTGTTGAGATCAGATGTGAAGGATACTAATATGGGCAGACTGGTTAGAGATGTTAGAAAGTCAACAGCTGCTCAATTGTTTTGTTTGTATTAGGGCTGCACAATATATCGCAAATATATCGATATCACAATATCAGCATGTGCAATATGCATATCTCACAGAACAGATAAATATCGCAATGAATGGTCAGCTCAAATGTTTGCTACACATAATGCATTCTGTCAAATGGAAGTATTATGTTTTTTTTAACAAATCAAGTAAAACTCTTCACCCAAAAGGGGATGTAAAAATCTTTGAGGATGCCAGTGAGTGTATCTTTCCAAAAATGTTCATATAACAAATGTTTAACTTCGAATGGGCTCTTTTTCATTAATCCATCCATTTACATCCTCTTATCTGGAGTCGGGTTGCGTGGGCAGCAGCCAAGCAGAGTGGCCCATTCTTCCCGCTCCCCAGACACTGGAGCCAGCTCCTCTGGGGGAATCCCAAGGCATTCCCTGGCCAGCCGAGAAACATAGTTCCTCCAGCGTGTCCTGGGTCTAGGGCTGGGCGATATGACGATTTTAG